GTGGACGTAGTATACTTAAATTTCAGTAAGGCATTTGACAAGGTAAACCACAACTTACTCTTTGGTAAGCTACAAAAAGGTGGAATAGACAACATCACCACCAAATGGAGCTGTAGATGGCTGGCAAACCGTACTCAACGAGTAGTCCTCAATGGCACTATATCCACATGGAGAGAAGTAAGCAGTGGGGTACCACAAGGTTCCGTTTTAGGCCCAGTACTGTTCAATATGTTCATCAATGATTTAGATGAGGGAATTGGAGGGGAACTCATCAAATTTGCAGATGACACCAAACCGACAGGAGTAGCCAACACCCCAGAAGACAAACTCAGGATCCAAAAAGATCTTGACCAACTTGAACAATGGGCCATATCCAACAAAATAAGTTTCAATGTGGAGAAAAGCAAAGTCTTACATTTAGGCAGGAAAAACCAAAGGAACAAATACAGATTGGGTAAGACCTGGCTTAAGAAAGTAACTGTGAGAGGGACCTTGGAGTCCTAGTGGACGATCACTTGACTATAAGCCAGCAGTGTGCAGCAGCAGCCAAAAAGGCTAATACAACCCTATATAAACAGAGGCATAGAATCAAGATCATGCGAAATATTATTACCACTTTATAAAACCCTAGTAATACCACACCTAGAATACTGCAGCCAATTTTGATCACCATATCACAAAAAAGATGTTGAGAGTTTGGAAAAAGTTCAGAGAAGAGCAACTTAGATGATCAAAGGCCTGGAGACTAAAACATACAAAGAACGGCTGCAGGACTTGGGTTTGGCTAGTCTAAAGAAAAGAAGAAATAGGGGAGACATGATAGCAGTATTACAGTATCTGAGGGGCTGCCACAGGACAGAGGGGGTCACATTATTCACCAAAGCACCAGAGGGCAGGACAAGAAACAATGGTTGGAAACTGATCAAAGAGAGAAGCAACCTGGAACTAAGGAGAAAGTTCCTGACAATGAGGACAGTCAACCAGTGGAACAGCTTTGCCTTCAGAAATCACTGGAGATTTTTAAGAGGAGATTATTATTATTATTATTATTATTATTTATTTATTACATTTATACCCCGCCCTTCTCCTAGTGGACTCAGGGCGGCTTACAGCCAGTTTAAAACAACACAATCAATACAATATACAAAATTTAAAATGTAGTTAAAAAGAAATATTAATATGGGCCTTTTCTTCCTTTTTTAAAAGTTATTTAAAAACCAAATTTAAAATACCCCTTAGGCCAGTCCCGCC